GCATGGCAACTATTAGTTGCTCCAACATGTACTCTCCTCTTCTTTATTAATAATACGTTCCCCAGCCTCCTTAGTGGGTAGGGGCATCTATATGCTTAATTCCTGTATTATATAGAACTTCTGGGAAGGCTAGTTAAAATGGAGAAGGCATGTGCCACTTTATCCTCCTCTACCGTTGGCTTGGAATGTGGACATGATGGCTGGTGCCCTGGTAGCCATCTGGGACCATGAGGCCACACTGAGGACAGAAGCCACATGCTGAGAGAGACAGGAGCTGCTTTCCTGATGATCCATGAAGCTGCTATACCAGACCTTGATGATCCACGTCTGGTCTTCTTTTATGTGAGAAAACAGTTCTATCATGTTTGAACCATTATTATTTCAGAGTTGTCTATTATATAGAGTCAAATATTCTCCTAACTGATAAGGCAGGTTCTGAATAAATGTGTAATTGGAGATAATTTTTTTTAATCCGATATTTCTTAGAAGAAAAATTTTCTGGAGATCCTTTTTTCAATGCCCCTAACTTTTTCACCAATTTGCTGTCTTCAAAAGGTAGTAATTATACCTCTATTGAGATTTATCTTAATTTGGGGGATTTTTTTCAATTATTGAAGAACCATACCAAATAAAGTGTGAAATAATTTGGGCTAGACTTTGAGGTGAAGTAGAGGTTTGGCAGCAGGCCCAGATGGCGCAGCCTCAGATTTCAGTGCAGAGCTGGCAATATCTTGTTATACACGTTAGTTGGATGTGTACACAGAGTAAATGGACATGATCTCAGGACAGGTGGCTTTGCTGATGGATAGCTGCTAATTGGTTTGACAGTGTAGAGAGAGCTATAAGTAAGCACTTAATGTTAATTCTATTACTAAACATGGTAACCTGAGGAATAGCCTTGAAGGATGAGAGGTAATCTGGTGACTTGAAAAACTCCTGATTGAACAGAAAGCAGACTTTACTAACTGGTGATTTTTTTCCTCTTACTTTTGTATCTTTTGATTCCTCTGAGTTTGTCAGGGCCTTTCCCTGGCTTAGGAAAACAGCTTAGGCCACCTTAGAGAAGCATATTTAATTAGCATTAGTGATGGTGGTAGTTCTATTAAGCCAGGAAGCATCCAGAATTAAAATGCTTGAAATTACTCACTGGATCATTGTCATAAGTGTCAGGCTCATCAATGCTCTTTGCTGAAACAAATCGCTTTCTTTCCAGATTTAAAATTTGGGATCTCTTTAGGCTTAGCAATTCATACTCCCAGATGTAATTTTATTTTAAAATAATTTGCATATGTTTCATTGTTACAAAAGAAACACATGCTCACCACAGAAAACTAAAACTCAGACAAGTATAAACAAAAGAAAACATAAAAAGCAAAAACACTGACAATCCCACCTACATAAAAATAACCATGCTTGGGCTGGCCCTGTGGCTCACTTGGGAGAGTGCAGTGCTGGTAGCGCCAAGGCCGCGGGTTCAGATCCTATATAGGGATGGCCAGTGCACTCACTGGCTGAGTGTGGTGCAGACAACACCATGCCAAGGGTTGCAATCCCCTTACCGGTCAGAAAAAAAAAAAAAAAAAAGATAACCATGCTTAACCCCTTCATGTGTATTTTTTCATACCTCTTCTATACTGTGTGGTATATATGTGTATGAATTTTAACCATAAAGGCAGAAGAAATTTTAATAAATATAAAAGCAGTAATTAATGAAATAGAAAGCAAAAACTAGTAGACCTTGATTGGTACAGCCAAAGACTTATTCTTCAAAAAGACCAATAAAATAGGTAGATCACTTTTTTCCCCCCTGAACCTGAGATCTTGGTGGTACAAGGCTGCACTCTAACCCACCAAGCTAGTCAGCCAGCCCCCAAATAGGTAGGTCTTTGTTGGTCTCATCTAGGGAAAAAAGGACAGACAAATAAACAAAAAGAACTAGACAGATGGAGGAGATTAAAAATCTATGACAACACAATATTTATAAATGTGTAAGAAAAGCTTCTGGAAAAATGCTTAGTGACTGGTGGACACATGGGAAGAAGTCAACTAGCAATGAGGAATCCATTCCATTTAATTTGGGCCATTTATCTTGAGATCAAGATCCCAGGTGTTGCCCTGGGAAGGTGGATGATGCACAGAGAAGGTGGTGGTCACTGGTATGGAGGCCAAGGATCAGGAACAGTTCAGCCACATCAAGTGAATGGCTCATGTGGAACTAGATGACATGCTCTTTAATGCTCATTTGTACCACATTGAAACCCTATCTTCAACACCTTAAAAAGTTCTTATTAGCAAAGAAATGAACAGACTGAACTCCTGAATCATTTGCAGCCATTTTTTATTCCAAACATGTATTTTTGTAAACCTGGCATTTCCCAAACAGTGCAAGTGAATTAGAAGTGACTGCATAGACTTTAATATATGTGACATCATGGGAAGGAATCCCCCCTCACCAAAATCCTCAACGGAAATGTACATGGATGCATTAGTAAAGTTCTGGAAGTGCAGATAACGTAGGTGCCTGCCATGCAATTAATCACTCTTAAAGCTTTTAAAGTCACTCTGCCAGTCACACTGTGCACATCTGAATTTTAGAAAAACAAAAACAAAAACCTTAACAAAGTCTGAAATATAGAACATTCTGCTATAAAGCATTGTGCCATTATTCCCCCCCACCCCCACCCCCCAGCCATGTGCTGAAAAATCAGAAGACACTCCAGAAGGTTCATTTTGATAGTACTGGCTCTGTATCCTACTTTTGGCCATTCTTTGTTTCAGAAAATATTCTCCATTGTTTGTATTATTACTCTATATATCAAAACAAAACATCAACTAACACTTTGCATACTTGCAACATTACTAAAATGACACTCACTTTCTGCCTTTTGTCTGCTAAAGGCCCCAAATGACAATTCTTTGTAACACCTCTGAATTTCAGGAAGTTTGAACCAGATATATGTATCACCAGGTATAACTTTCACAGGTAACCCAGGCATAACTGCATTCACCTGGCCATAATGCCTTACCCCCAAATAAAAGTCATAAATAAGCTTTCAAAAACCACTACGCTAGCACTACGGGCAGTACACAGTACATGGATCATTTGGATGACCTACTAAACCTCTGCATGGAAAACAGGTCCCAGATATTCCCAGGAGTGCTGCTAACCTCCTTGCCTTTGTTTTCTTTGTCTGATCCTGCCCTTTAGCTACCTCTGTGCCTCCATCCCACAGTTAGAAGCAACATCCCTGACTTCTAGGATCAACTTAGTTCATGCCATTGACACATTGGCTTTTGCTGTCTATTCCCAGGTTCACCCAGAAGGGAAGCATGACATTATCTTTCTGCAGCAGAGTCAACTTCATAACAATAAGAAACCAAAAGACACACACTCTATACCAGGTTCACACTTGTCTAGCACCCTTGTAATTTTGCCAAAAGTTTAGATATGTTTGCAAGTATTAGCCATGTATATGTATAGAAAACTTGTCTCCTCTGAAGTTGGGTCCTGTGTCTTTTCAAAAATGTTCACAGACTCCCAACATGTCAGCCTCTAGTAAACAAGGCCCATAAGAAATATCCCTGGTCTTCTATATTGTTTCATTCCCATCTGATGCCCTCTGTATGTAGCTGGGGCTTCAGCAGGTTGTAGTAAACCATTAAGACTCTTTGACCCTGCTCTTAGCCCATGTTTTCTGTCTTAGCAGAAGGTTATCTGGCAGTGGGAACAGCAGCCACAGCTGTTAACTGTTATTGAGTGTTTGCTGTGGGCCAGGTGCAGTGCTGAGCATGCTATATCCATCATCTCCTTGTCCTTTTAGAAAATCACACTGCACTCAAAACTGTGCAGCACTGTGCATCCGACAAGAAATACTGTCAGAGAGCGTGGGTATGGAAGGACAAAACTGGCACTCACACATGCGCGGGGTGGGGGGAGGTATGACGTCAGACCCTTGAGCACCACGGCATTTGCATCGTTTCTGTGGGTCTCCCCAGGTGGGACTATACCTGCGGCTCTCCCTTAGAGGACTGCCCCTGAGCTACTGGAGCCATTTTTCCAGCAGGAACTAATAGCAGAAAGTTTACATCTGCCCAGGGTAGGGGAATATGAAAGCCCACCTCCCTTGCCTCAGGCTGGGACAACTCTGAGGCCTCGCTTACCCTCCAGAGCTGCCCTGATCAGGCTGAAGCCTCCCTTTGCCTGGCTTCCTCCCCGTCCCTGTCCTGCTTCCCCTACTCTTTACCATGATCCCCTGGGAACACTTCCTTAATGTTACTTGCACACAAATCCTTATTTCAGGATCTGCTTCTTGGGAACTCCACCTAAGACACTTTTTTTTTTTTTTAAAAAAGGTCAGGTTGAATGGTCATCTCTGGGAAGAAATCTGCAGTTACCACTAGCTGGAACAGCAAGAGCAGTAGAGGAAATGGAGACCTCAGAACTAAAATTACCAGGAAAAAACAACACCTCACAGCATTCAGACACAAGTCTTTGCTTGGGGGGCACTGATTTAGTCCTTGTGGTGGGCAAACTCTGAGGCATGACGTCCGGAATGAGATGCCATTCTGAAGTTGACCAGATGACCAACTGGCATTGCTCCAAGCTTTCATCCATCAATCCAAGTAGGAGGAGGGTGAGATGTCTGCAGTATAAAGGTGATGTAGAGCAGACTTGTTGCACGGAATCAGGTTTTCCATCCAAGTTCCTGCTGGGAATCTTCCAATGAAAGGTACATATGAAAAAACACTTACAGTTCTTAAGCACATGACTCCAAACTTGACTGCAGGCAATAAAGATGTGAAATGTCTTAGGGGTCTTGCCACATCTAGTTTGTACGCAGCAGGCCAGCTTGGTGGATTCATTACATGAGGTTTCTTCAGCTTATTTTATCTGCAAGTCTTTTTAAACAGCAAGTTCCAAAGTACAATAAGGTTTTTATCAATTAAAAATTTGTATGCATGTACATGTATTGCCAAGATTTCAGGCCGGATATCAGTGCTTGAGTGAATTATATAACTATTTAATAGAAATAATAAAACATCGATACAAATATAAAGACATAATCAGTATAAAAGGCTTATATTTATAAAAATACTTTTAGGTAACAGTTTTCCCCTGAGGGTTGACCACGCATGTTGCATCCATAAATATTGCTCGGCTCTGTAGCTCGCTTTCCAAAGTTCAGAGTTCATCTTTAAAAGGAAGTGGTGGTGGCTCCGGTCACGTGACCTGGTGGCAGTGGCTGCCTCAGGCTGGCACCTGGGCTGGACAGAATGAGGACAAGAACAGCATCAGTGGGGCCTCCGAAAAATCTGGAGAAGATTTTTTTCTTCCAAATATGGAAGATACAAAGATCAAGGACGACAGGCTAGTGATTGGGTCATGGGACTGGAGGAGCAGGTCACTGGTTTTTCTGGACCCAGTCCCAACTGTCTTCATTCTCTTTCCGGTTCTTCTCAGCTTCAATAATTTCTTTGTACCTTCGGCGAAAGAAGCCCATCTGAAAGGTAGAAAGAGAAGAAGCCAGGTTAGAAATACTGAAGAATCAGCTATTTTGACTCCATAGTAGCCTGGCCTACGACTGGGCGTGACCCACACTCACAGGGCTGGGAATGCTGGAGACCTCCTCAGATTAGACTCTTCTTGGAAAACACACTGGCAAGAAAAGCATTATGTGGAGCCATTTTTCAAAACGCATGGACTTCCTGCAGGCTCTTATGGCAAGTTGTTCATTCCTCGTAAAATGTTCCTGTGGAGTGTTTCCCAAACTGTGTGCTGGGGAACACTAGTTACTGAGAGTAATTCAAAGGGTTTGGGAGTTTAAAAAAAAGTTTTGTGGTCAGGCCGGCCCGGTGGTGCACTGCTACAGTGCGCCGCTTGGGAAGTGCGGCGGCGCTCCCGCCGAGGGTTCGGATCCCACATACAGACCGGCCGCTCACTGGCTGAGCGAGGTGCGGGAGCAACACCGAGGGTTGCGATCCCGTTGCCGGTCCCAGTCCGGTATGGGCACGACACTGAGCGTTGCGATCTGTTGCCGGTCACGAAAAAAGACAAAAAGGGGAAAAAAAAAAAAAGTTTTGTGGTCAAATAAGTTTGGGAAATGCTGCGTTCTTACTTTTAGAGATTTGTAATGTACAGTTGAACAGTAAAGGATCTAATAACTACAGCAGGGGAGAAACCCAAGAACTTGACATTGCCCAAGCTTATTTGGGTTTTGATAAGCCTATTAATATCCTGAGAGATATTGGCCATCTGTGGAACAATTTGATAAATACTGCTCTCACTTGATAGGCTTTTATTTTATTTTACTAGCAGGCTGTGGCTTGCCTTTTGGTTTTTTAAAGTTGTTTTTTGAAAAATGGAAGTATTAGATTTTATTTATTTATTTATTTATTTTATTGAAACATAGTTGATTGTACATATCTGTGGGGTGCACAGGTGAATATCAATACCTCTGTGCGATATGTGATGCTCAAATCAGGATAATTAGTATATTCAACATTATACAATGTAATATTTTTACATTTTATGAAGTTTAACACACCAGTTTTTTTTTTTTTTTTCTTTTATGGTTAGTGCTTTGGGATCTTCTCTAAGAAATCTTGCTTGCTCCTAGGATGCAAAGGTATTCTCTTCTGATTTCTTCTAGAAGCTTTACAGTTTTAGCTTTCTCATTTAGGTTTGTGCTTCATCTCAAATTAATTTTTGTACGTGGTATGAGGTGGAAGTTGAGGTTTCATTTTCTCCATTTGAATAGCCAATTGTTTCAGTATCACACTGAAAAGATTAACTTTCTTACATAGAATTACTTTTGATGACTGTTGAAAATTAGTTGACTGTGTATATGTGGGACTTTTTATGGACTCACTATTCTGATCCATTGATCTACCTATCTGTCTTTATGGCAGTAATACATTATCAGAATTACTGCAGCTTTATAGTAAGTGCAAATATCAGCTAGAATAAATTTTCCAACTTGCTTCTTTTTTTTTTTTTTTTGAGATTGTTGTAGCTGTGTTAGCCCCTTTGAAATTCCAAACACATTTTAGAATCAGCTTGTCAATTTCTACCAAAATTTCTGCTCTGATTTTGAGTGGGATGACATTAAATCTATAGATCAATTTGGGGAGAATTGGTGACAAAAATATTGAGTCTTTCAGTCTACAAACAGCTCTAGCTGGGTTTATTATTGTTGTTGTTTTTACATTCCATAGGATTTTGTACATAGAATATCATGTCACCTGTAAAAGAGACAGTTTTACTTCTTCCTTTCCATTCTGGATGCTTTTAAATCTTTTTCTTGCCTAATTGCACTGGCTAGTACTTCCACTACAATATTGAATAGACCGGGTGAGAGTGAACACCCTTGTTCATGATCTTAAGGAGAAAGTATTCAGTCTTTCGACATTAAGTATGATGATAAATCATGGTTTTTTCAAAGGCGCCCTACATCATGTTGAGGAAGTTGCCTTTGAGCCCTAGTTTTTTTAGTGCTTTTATCATCAAGCAGTGTTGAATTCTGCCAAATGCTTTCCTAGATTTACTGGGATAATCGTGTGGGTTTTGCCCATTATTCTACTGGTATAGCATATTA